TTTCCTTCCTCTTCGCTCTTCGAACAGTTAAATCTTGATGTCTTAAGCTGGTGCACCCCAAAATAGCCAGGACTTGGAAGAACCCCCAGCCCTGAGCCTCCCTGTGGTCTCCTCAGCTGTCTCACGGAGACGGCGATGCTCAGCTGGCCATGTAGGGATGGGGAGACGAAGGCTGTCATTTATTAAAGCCATTTGGGGACTCGTGTGTGTGTGTGTGAGGGACATTCCTGAGTTGGGGAGCCGATGACAGTGGGTTTGGAAGACTTCATTTCTATCTCAGCAAGGCTGTTTTCCCTTCCTGCCAGTTGTGGAGCTCTTTGGCAGGATGGGGAAACCTGCAGAGCTGACTCTGATGTTCTGCTGATAAGAGAGATAATCATCGTTCTGATCAATGCTCTGGCTCTTATATAGGGGAAACTTGACTTTAAAATTGCATTTAAAATGTCTTTCACCCCCTCCCTTCCCCAGGAAACACTGGGAGGAGCCTCAGTGTCTTATCTCTGTCAAACCACCTTTACTCTCTGCCTCTTCCTTGGTAGCAATGGGGAGGTTGCCACTTACTCAACCAGTTCTGGGTGAAATGGTCCAGAACTGCCAGCATCATTGCTGTGCACAGTGTTTTTAACACAAAAGATGCTTCAGTGAAACAAACCCAGTAATTTCCATGGAACTGGAGTAAAATACCTCTTGTAGCTAATTATCTGCTTAGTTAACATAGTAATACATGATTCTGTAAAAGCTTAAATAGATTAAATAGAAGTGGAAGCTTCTTCTAAAAGCCATTGATTGCTTTGTATGCTAATCACTGTGAATTATTTAACACAATGCTTTCAGGAATGGTTGTTCTGATAGCAGCTGAGAGGATCAGAAAGATTCAAGTCTCATTCTGTAAAGACCTGTTTCCTCATCCATTTGCGAATTCGGGCATTTTTTGGTAAACCTCTGTATGGGGGTTAAGAGTTTCCAGAGTCAGCCAAGGTGAGTTATTCCAATAGCAGATCCTAGATTATCCAGCTGGGTTCCCTGTCAAAGCTACGGTTCTTTGGGATGAGGGTTTGGTGAGATTTTCTGCTGAGCCAGTCGAGCTGGTATTTATTGTCCAGAGGGATCAGTATTCCGTGATGCAGAACAGCTGCTGTCCCAGACCTCCAGGAACTCTGTATGTGAAGGTAGAAAAGGATGTGAGATCCTTGAGCAGCAGCTATTCCTTTTGTTCCTTGTGGAAAGATATCTTGTAATCCCAGACAGCTGGCTTGAAAACGTGGGGGAGAGTCAAATCACAAGGGGTTTTATTTTTTTTCCCCCCGTTTTGCTAATTCCAAGGTGGAAAGGAGCAGGCGGGAGTGAGGGAGCCCAGCTGCTGGTCCCTGTAGCAGCTGGAATTGGCTGGCACGGGAGAAGCCGTGTGGTGGGTCCCCCTAAAAAAGCACACTTGTTAGCGAAAAGAAACGTAAAGTTTCCAGAGCGAATGCCCTGGGAAGAGAGAGAAACCAGCGTTTCTGTGTAAGAGGGGACAAACTCTGTGGGGAATGTTCTCAATCCCATACACGAGAGCCAGGAATGTCCTAGAGCAGCCCTACACAGCGGTCGTTACTGGCTACACTTCTGGCTGAAGGAAAACATAATGGAGGAGCCAAAGTCTTTTTTTTAAATGCAGTAGTAAGAAGGAAGGTGTGGGTTCCTCTCTGCCTCCAGGGGCTTTCTTTGCTCTGCAGGGACATCCACACTAAGCTGCTTCTTTACTGCTTTCTTGGGTATAGGAGGCAAAATAGTCTACTCCATCCTTCTGCCTCCAGGATCCACACTACCTAAACTATGTGTGGCTAATGCCTGTCTCACTGCACTCCACCTGAGGGTCTTAATAGCCTTGCTTTTTAGGAAAAAATATATATATCTGAATCTGCAGTTTTAGTCAGTGACTCTTTACCCTTTTCTATTTGGAGCGATGTTCTGACCTAGGTATTGTATCTGTGGCTAAATAAGCCATTTCAGTTCTTTTCATTGTCATGTTTTCTCAACTTCAGATCATTCCCATTGGTTTCCTCTAGATTCTCTCCAGTTAATCCACATGATTTCTTGAAATGAAGTGCTCGGAGTAGACATGCACTGTTTCAGATCCCTGTTTTTTTGTCTGTGGGGAAAGCTGTTGCCTTTGTGTGATGGAGAGCAAACCAGAAAGTGAGCTTTCCAAAGGAGGGCAAGACATCTAGGGTCCAGGGACTCATTTAAAGGTCTTATCTGGAATAGAAACCAGAAGAAAAATAAAGATATTTCATTAAAGTAATAAGCTAAGCTTTATGATATGTTCCTTGGGGATGGTGTAGGGGAAAAGCTCCTGCATGAAACCAGGCTCCCATTACTTGCTCAGCAGCAGGAAATACCAGGAGGCATCTCTCCTTCCCTGCACGTCTCCGCAGCTGAGGAGCTCCTGGGGAGCGGAGGAGCTTGTGTTTTATTTTTCTGGGGTTTCAGAGGTGTTTTCAGTCTCCTGTGGTCCTGGGCTTTGCTTTTTGTTTCAGCTGTGGGAGCCGTGGACTTATGTGTGGATGCTGGGGTGTGAAGGATGGCAGTTGTCTTTGTTCATTAAAATAGTCTGATTATTTTTTTTTTATCCCCCCACCTGCAGCCTGTGACCCAAAGTGATATTTTACACCTCGCTGCCTGCTTCCTGCTGCCTTCCACGAGCATCAACAGCTTCAGCCTTGACCCTTGTGTATTTCTTCCATTTATTTGTTATGTTCCCTATTACCTGTAGCCAGCTGCCTGGACTAATTACACAGCTTTTTACAGCCCCCCCGGGGCAGGCAAAGTTGGTGTCTGTGCATTACAGTGTATAAATCAAGTTTGCATTTCTTCACCTTTTTTTCATGGTCTAGTCTTTCCTCATTTCCTTTTAATGGGGCTGCAGAGAACACTCTGCACGTTGTGCTGTCACCTTTGCCAGTGTGTAATTGTATTTGGCTTTATGGTGTCAGCCATTGCCTTGAAAAATCCCCCCCCAGATATCCTCAAATTCTCATCCTCGGGGGAGGGGGTGTGTGTGTAACACCTTCCAACAAGAAGAGCGAGAAACACGCATTTGAAGCAATCCAAGTAAAGCCCAACACACCCCAAAATGTCAAAGGTAAAGTTACTGTTAAAAACTGCAATTCCAGAAGGTGATCCTTGGGGAGTGCAGTTTGCAGAGGACAAATGGTGCTTGTGAATTACAATTCCAACACTTTTTTTTTTTTTTTTTTAAACATTGAAGTTTAATTCCTTCCTGCCCTCTAACTCTTCTCTGTGCCACACTTGCTACGAAGAAAGGGTAGAGACCTCTCCCTACATTAGGCTTCTCTCTCCTTTGTTCAGAGTTGAAAAGTTGCAGAAAGGAGAAAACAGAACAGAAAAGGTAACTTCCTCTGGTGTGTGTTCTGTTGCATTCAGTGATGACAAAGGAGTAAAAAGGCAGAGATTTAATATTTCTGTGTAACTTGAGGTAAAAACGCTTTGCGTTTTCTGCCCTTAAAAGTAAGAAAATCTAGTGGGGATCTTTTCACATAAAATAACTACTTTTGCAAACTGTTAAGCTAAAGAAACATTACATCTTAAGATAAAATCAGCTTTACTTACTGTGTATCCTCTTCTCAAGTACTTGCTCAGAGACGTTTCAGCCCCTTTGGATACTCACTGTCAGTTTGAGTTTACAGCTACCTGCAATGAATGTACCTCTTTCTAATCTTAATTTCATAGGAATGCAAATCTTGTTGATGCCTGTTCTAAAAATAAGTGTTGAACTTGCGGCTATTTGTAGAATTGTTGTTTTAAACTCTGCCTCCAAGTGCTCTGCAATTTACCACCAGAATGATGGGCAATTCAGCATATTCCTGTGTTTTTATCTCTTAAAGCAAACACCCTTAAAAGGCTGCCTTAAACAGAGAAATAGCTGTTTATTCTCTAAATGTGACAGATCAGGCAGAGTAGGAGGAGAAAAAGAAAAAAAACCAAACAAAAACAGCTTCATTGTTGTGCTTTGGATAGAAACTAGCAGCAAAAAACCATTTGTCAGTCTTTTGCGAATTGTTATAATACAGTGGACCGTGGAAGGTTCCAAATCAATGCACATTCCCTATAGAAGTGTTTCTACTTGGTTAACCGGGTTAAACCACTTAGCTCTTATTTTATTATCTCATTAGCAATCAAAAATCCATGTTTTAGGGCTCCGAGTCGATGTAGTTACATGGACGGCCCTTGAAATTTGCCAGAATCCCCTGGACTCCACTAATTCTAATTGAAGTTGGCACAGATTTGAAGTGCAGGCAGCGATAAGCTGTTCTGATTCTTGGACCATTGCAGAGCAGAATGTGAAATGCTTATTATATGAGGTTATTTGATCAGATTTAACCGTTTTAGGGCACAGATAATTTTGCTAGGGAACTGAAAAATGGGCCCACATGATGAGGTGCATTCCTCTGCAAATCAGTATGAGACACAAGCACAATTGCACGTGAACTTGGGGGATTGAGCAGCAGACCTTGACCGGTGTTCGTGGAGAGGATCACTTGAGTCCTTTTAGACTTGTTTGCTATGAAATTAAAATTAATTTTGTAAGAATAAGCTTGTCCTAGCTGTTGGCTGACTTTGCAGACAAGAGGAGACCCCAGCCATTGTCCCCACTCCTTCTCCACCCCCTTCCCTGGTCTTTGTCTCCATTTTTGACCGGTGTTCGTGGAGAGGATCACTTGAGTCCTTTTAGACTTGTTTGCTATGAAATTAAAATTAATTTTGTAAGAATAAGCTTGTCCTAGCTGTTGGCTGACTTTGCAGACAAGAGGAGACCCCAGCCATTGTCCCCACTCCTTCTCCACCCCCTTCCCTGGTCTTTGTCTCCATTTCTCCAGTTCACGTAGGGCTGGTGTGACACTCTCCCAGCAGCCTTCCTCCCTTCCTGCCAGGGATGATGCTGAGTGCTAATGGCTTGTTCATGTCACGAGTGCAATGATTGTGTTTTCTGCTTTTAGGGATTTACGCTTCAACCACATCAAGGAGATACAACCTGGAGCCTTCAGAAGACTGAAGAACCTCAACACGCTGTAAGTTCCTCTCGGTGATCCTTCAGTAAGGATAATCAATTTTTTACCTATGTTCTATCCCCTAGAATGGCTGAAAGATGGCCTTGGACTTTTAGTTATTTCAGCCAAGTTGTGCGTATCCAACTAACGCTTCAAAATTCTCTCTGGTCTACCCTGGATTATGTTTCTTACTCTTTTTTAACTCTGGTGTATTTTACTAATTTTCATTTTGGCAATTAACCTGTCTTTTTTTAAAAAAATTAAAAATTCTGATCCATACTGCCACTGCCTGAGGATGTTTCAGCAGATATGGCTTTAGAGGAGCCCATAAAAGCAGTTCTGGCCTGGGACTAAGATAGCAGAGGGGTGCATTAAAATCTTCTTCCTTTCTATTCCTTTCTGTTCAACCTGGAGAAGAGAAGGCTCCAGAGAGATCTTAGAGCAGCCTTTCAGTACCTAAAGGGGGTACAGGAGAGATGGGGAGGGGAGCCATAGGACGAGAGCCAATGGTTTTAAAGTGAAAGAGGGGAGATTGAGATGAGATATTAGGAAGAAATTCTTTGCTGTGAGGGTGGTGAGAGCCTGGCCCAGGTTGCCCAGAGAAGCTGTGGCTGCCCCATCCCTGGAGGGGTTCAAGGCCAGGTTAGATGGGACTTGGAGCAACCTGGTCTGGTGGGAGGTGTCCCTGCCCAGGGCAGGGGGTGGAACTGGATGATCTTTAAGGTCCCTTCCAACCCAAACCATTCTATGATTCTATGACCTTCTCAAATGCATAAACCACGTGAGTTACTCGATGTGACTTTGGCTGAAGCGAGAGTCCATCCTTCCAAATACCATCTCATCCTTAAGCCCTGCCCCAGAATAAATGCCTGTGTTTATCCTACTGCAGGTAGGAACGGGAGTAGAAAGCAGTTCCTTCACCCCTGCATCCCAGCCAGGGCAGGGGTGCTCCCATTGGTGTGATGTGCTGCTCTAACAAGCTTCTCACTCTGCTCAAAGGCAACAGTGGGAGCCTTTGCTGCTTCTTGCCGCTGTAAGGCTGAGGGTTTGAAGACAGCTATGAGTAGTACATCCTCACCGTGTAGCCAAGAAGTTGAAAACAAACCAAGTCCCAAATGAGGAACAGAAGCTCTGTCGGCACAGCACCGTGCTGGATGTAATTGGCTTGTTGGGACTCAGATCTGATTATCTGAGCTGTAACACGGCGCTAACAGCCATAGGAATTCCAGGTCCAAGCTCAAATCTCTCTGCAAGGCAAACCAGCTTGCTTGGGAACCTGCTCTGTGCACCAGGCGTTCGTATTTCCTGGGTTTGTGCTTTAATGGTCCCAAATGGGAAGAGAAAGTCCAGATTGTTTTTTTGTGTCTCTCTTTGAGAGCTCTGAAGTCCCTGATCCTGTAAAGACAGCAGTGCTGAAAGAAGGGGCAATAAGACATTCAGTCAGTTTTAAGTTGTAGAAAGAGTGGGAATCCAGCAGGACTTTATCCTTGAGACCTGTTCAAGAGCTATCTTTTAAAAATCAACATTTGCAAAAGATTGTTCTGCTGTGTGTGTGGGGCTGGTTGGCCAGGCCATGACTCCAGGATGTTTCGAAGTACCCTGGTGCTCACAGCACTGGTAGAGAGGTAGAAAACTTTATTGCCAATGAAGCTGTTCATCCAGAGCACAAAAACAACCCATGTTAGTCCATTAAGCCACCACATGGTACTTAATTACCAAAAATAATAGAGAGAAAGGATACTTTGGATGGATTTCTGTCATTTGAGATAGGGTGATAAACGCGCCTAAAATATCTAGAGAGAGAATAGAGTCTGAGTCCGTGGGGTTTTACCTTATCATAAAGCTCTGCTGAGGCATCTTGATCTCCAGACCTGCTCTTCCACCCCTGAAGCTCTCCTGAGTGGAGAAGACAAACCGTTCCAAGTGATGTCATCCCTGTGTGAGGCAGACAGATGTTTGGCAGGCGGCTCGGCAGGACCGCCAGGCTAGTTCCAGCCGAGCCCTGGGGAATCAGAGGATGCTGGCAGGGCTTCACTTGGAGAGATGCTCCACCCAACCTGTGGAGCTTTGTAAGAGATCCCAGTTCCTGCCCTGCCAGTGCCTTGCTCTGGGCAGTTCCCTCACATCTGCAAGGCTTCTGCTTCTCTCTCTCTGACTCCTGCCTCTCTGCTGAAAGCTCGATGTAGATACACAGCCTGGCTGAGATGGAAAGACCTGTCTAAAATAGCTGTTTATACTCCATGAATTTGTCCAAGTCTTTTTGTTTTCTGTCTCCACGCCCTCCTGGAAAGGGACCTCAAAGACAGCAAGTCCATGAACAGATACTAAAGGGAACAGGCACGAATGTACCCCTCTAACATCCTTAACATGGATGCTGGGGCAATAAGAGGAATGGTGGGCAGATGCTGTCCTGCTTTCCCTAAATACTGTCCTGTGATGATATTCCATCGGAGCTGGAATACTGGACTAGGTGAAACACTGCTCTAACAAAATGCTGCATTTTCCTATTTGATCTGGAAATCAACTGGTTTTGCAAAGGAAACCTTTCCATTTAGATAGTACTTCATATGCTTGGTTGTATTTCCAGGTTTGGCCAGAAAACTGAAAAATCAGTTATTTTCACCCTCGTAGTAGTTAACTCCCACGGATGAGGAGCTTGATAAGTGAATGAAAGCGCATGAGACCTCGCACTCGGAAAGCAAATTTCTCTCCAGGAACTGTGGGTTGTCCAATTCCCACATCAAAACTGATAAGAGCTGAAGAATTTGCTGATGTTTCTTAGATAGTAAACTTTTGCCTGAGGACTCATATAGGTCTTAGAGTGATAAAGAGAATAAATCCTTTAAAATCCCTGAGAGACCCGCTGGGAAAGTTTGGCCAGAATATTTGAAGCAAGAGGTTTGGAGGACAGAATAGCTCAGGTTCTGTATGCAGAGCTCTGAGCTTGTAGCTCGCTGCCATGGGACTTAAAAAAAATGTTATTTAATTGAATAAATGCTTTTAGAACAGCCTTTTCCTGCAGTCCATTGGCCTGGCAGAGGAAGGGCAGCAGATTCTGGTGAAGCTTCTCTTCTGCACGTCTTTTTGGGCAGGATGGCTGTAGTATGTCCATGTTTGACAGTTGATAAACCACCCTGATAAGGAAACCTTTGTAGCCTGTGTTGGATGTGGGGATGTGGGCTGGGAAACTGATGGAAGAGGAACCTGCCTTGGATGTCTGGTGGGGCTTTTTTGACAGCTCAAAGCTTCCCCTGGCTCTTTCTCTTCTGTTCTCTTCCTGGTGTGGGAGATTTGATAAATTACAGAGCACTGCTTTCAAATTAAACACAGGAGCTCCGTTTGTTTGTGGAAGAGAGATACGCTCGTTTTATTTTTCTGGCTGGTGACTCCTGGTGCAGCACCGCAGGTAATGAGCAATTATCCTAATTTCTGCACCTCTGGGGCCTTGCCGGTCGGCTCCCTGCAATGTTGTGTGCATTGGAGAAGTCCTCTTGGACTAGAAGTCTTAGAGTTGAAGGTTTCCTCATCCCTTCCTCTTGCCTCTTCGTTCCCATGCAGATGTTGATGTCAGGATCTCCTTTGTATATTTTTAAACTGTTAATATGTCCCCTTGGTAAAAACAAAAATAGGGTAGCAGGGAGAAGGAGGGGGAAAATCTCTTGTATGCCATCCACAGAATACCCACAGCTCCTCGACAGATGTTTGGCTTGAGTTTGCCAACACCAGCCGCATTTAGCCCAACATTAGCTCACAGCAGATGGAGGACTGGGGAGGAAGGCAAACACGTTGCGAGCCTGTGGTGAGGCACAGCAGCTCATTGCTTTCCAGTTTTTGCTCCTTTAGGTCATCTTTGGGTGGGGATGGATGACGACACCCCTGCGTGGCTGTCCCCTTACGTGTTCCTGCAGGAGATCAGTACCCTGCCACGTTGACCCAGCTGGTCGCTTGCTGTATTTTCAAACCAAGGCCAGCCCAACCAAATGGTTGCTGATACTTGAGTCTCTCCCACATTGTCTATAGCAATGTCCAGCCCTGGGACAAAAGCACTATATCTTAACTTCCCCATGTCTGTGACATGGGCACCCTAGAGAATTGGGACTCTGTGGAGACCACATCATGGTACGTGCTTCTGCTTGTACCTATGCCCTTGCTCACCTCTTATTTCTTTTTCTGCTGAGTCAAGAGGAAAAGGCACTTTTCTGCAGCCCTGCTTCAGGTGCTGCTTGTAAAGGGTTTCAGGGTGAATGACGGGAGTAATGTGGAGGCTCTGTCTTCAACCTTCTAGTAGCTCTTGAGAGAACAGTTCCTGCCAGCAAGGAGGGGATGTAGGAGCCTGCTTGGATCTCAGAATAAAAGTTTCCCCCTCAAATATGGGAAATGGCTTTTCCAGATCATTCTGTCAACAAGGGGGAATGCACAGCTGAACGTTAACCTCACTTTTTCTCCCCTTTTAAATACACTACATGATGATTTCTATTAACGGTGGGAAGGAAAAAAAAAAGCTGTTATGTCACAACGACTGTAGCATGTGGTTTGTCAAACAAAAAGAGGAAGGAGAACACGTTTTGAGTCTGGATTCTGTGCTGTCACATCATTTAATACATTCTTCAAAACAGAAAACGACTCATTTAATGCAACTTAAGCCTGTGCTTGGCAGCCCAGAGAGAGGGTGGGGAAGGAGAAGGGAGGGGCGGTCAGGACATAAAACCTAAAGGAAACTGCATGTAAAATGTTCTCTCAGTGAATCTGGGCCGGATCTCATGGTGCTTGTGTATCTCAAACATCCTAGAAGAATTTTTCAGGAATAAAGCCTGTATGATTGAGTCCACATACTCATTTGGAGCCCAGTTCACCAGCTGGCACGAAGGGGAACGCCATACCATTCTGCTATCTCTTGATAAGCTCTGGGAAACATGCTTCTGATACTTTAAATTTAACTTGTTTTGCTAAAGGGTATCCTGAAGACATGCATCAATAATGATCTTTCCAGCTTCTGTCTGCCAGAGTGTTTATTCCCAGCAGATCTGGTCAGCAGTAGATCTCAGCATTCAGTTGTCTTTAACATTAGCAGGAATTTGGGCAGTTTGCTATTGATTGCAGCCGGGATCAGTATCCAGGTCATGCCAGGATTTTGCAGAGTCCTTTGGCTGGGTGAATTGCCCAGGAGTTGAGAGCAGACAGCTGTGCACAAGCCAGAAAGTCTTTCTAGGAGCCAGATGTGCTGTCTTGTCTATGGATTTCTCTGAAAGCAGCGTTTTGGAATACGTGGGCTATGATGGACTTCATAAAGTATCTCACTTTTGAGTGTTTTCCAGAACATGTCCTCCTATTACAATGGGGAATCCTGAGACAGGAAACAGAGATGGCTTCTTCCATACACTTTTTAACCTTTAATCGGGCAATGAACGCATTTTTAAGTATCAGACGATGAGATAAGAGGCTTGTGTACTACATGCCATCTGAACTTCCACAACTTGTCTTATTTGGCTGGGATCACTGATTACATCCCCTTGAACTGTCCTAAACAGCCAAGATAAAAAAAAAAAAAAAAAAAAGACTAGGTTAGTGCAGTCAGACAACATGTTACAATTTGAAAGCCCCCCTGAACTTCAGTCCTGGTCCAAACTCATTGCGTTAAAGATAAAGGGTCATGAAGGAGTGCAGACCATGGTGGTGCTGTCAGTGTCACCCTGCCTCCGGGATGTCACCTGGTTGTTGTCTCCTGCCCCCGGTGAAGCGATGCCAGTTGCCTGGCAGGGTGTTCACATCTGTGGGAATGACATGGGAGCTGGCACCCGTCTGTCAGCCCATGTGGCATCCTCAGAAGTAGAGCCAAGGGTCAGATAAAGGAGAACAAGCTGCCTCCATCCTCCCCTGGCTGGAGATGAAAGCGGGCAGGGGAGGAAACACGCACGGTTGGTGCCTGTGTTGTCTTTGTCCTGGGGGTAAATAGACAAAGCCCCTCTCCCGCGCTGCTCTCGAGCAGTTATTTCCAGTCCTTGGGTGTTCAATCCTCAAATAAACCTTTGGGTTGGTGTTCAGGGGCTGTATTTCCACTCGGCGTATCTGGCTGTCAAAGCAGGAGCGTGTGTTCCAAGGACTTGACATCATTTTTGCATCCTTATGAGTGAATTCGGGTTGTTTAACCTCAGCCATCGAGCCATTGGTTCCAGCTGTGCAGAAACTTTCCAGCAACTTTCTGCCTTAACCTCTTCGAGCTGCTGGTCTGCATCCGTGATGGCAGGGTGGGCCATCAGAATCAGGAGAGGATGGGCAAATCAAGGGTAGTGAGATTTTTCTCAAGACCTTAGTGTTCCGACTTTCAAAGGTTTCTTTGCATTCAAGTTTCTTACATGCCTTTTGGACCCTTCATGTAATACTCTGCCTGAGAACAAGGTGGTGGAAAGTTGGTGTGACTCAGGTGCCCGGTGGCAACCTGTGAAGCAGCCATAATATGTTTCCAACAACTTTTATCTTTGCATCCCTGAGGCATTTGATTTTATCTTCTTTTCCCACACATTTTCTTCCGTTTTTTTTTCCCCATGTCTTTTGTCTCCATCCTTTACCTGCACAAACTGTTCTTCCCAGGAAGAGACCTTTCCTTTGTTTTTATTCCCCATGTCTTTTGTCTCCATCGTTTACCTGCATGAACTGTTCTTCCCAGGAAGAGACCTTTCCTTGTAGCACCAGAGGCTTTTCTCCAGCAAAGTGGGAGCAAAGATTGGCCTTTACTGCTGGGAAAGTGCTGAATTGTCTTCTCACCTGCTGTCTGGTGGCAGATCGTTTCTGAGGAGCATGGCTAGGACAAAAAGGAGCTTGTAAAATAGAAAATGCACATCTAATACACATGTTGAATTTGACCCAACATAGTAAGGTCTGGCTGCTTGCAGAGGGAATAGCAGTTTTTCCTACAACACTAGGAAAACAAATCTTTGCAGTACATGGTCACAGCTCTCCTCTCCATCCCTATCTCCATCTAGGAATTTTAAAACTAAGTGTGGCCAGTGAAATCCCTGCTCTGAGCCATTGGGCTGTCAGCTCCACCAGCTCTGCAGCCACAGCCAGGTTTGCCAGATATGAACATCCCAGAGAAGGACCCACAGGAGTGTGGTTGGGCAGCCACGATGAATAGTTAAACCTCGTCTATTACAGAGCTATTTATAAGTGATTTATTTATTTTTCTTGGTGTTGAGCTTGGCAGTGGGTGCAGAAGAGGCTTTTGTAGCGTTCAGCTGCGTGGTTACCACAGTGTGGTCATGACAAGGTTGAGCTGTGTTTCTGGTCATGGGCACCAGCCAACATTTGCATGCACAGTCATGGCAACTACACATACAAGTGGGAGATTGCTTGCCAATGCGATGCTGTCCATGGGTTTTGCATTAAAATCTGGCAGAAGGTTCTCTAGATCGAGAGAGGCTGCCTCTGAATAGCCTCATGAGTCAGATCTGTATGTATTTATTTTTCATTTGCACATATTTGTATACAAAGTGACCAGAACAAAGCGTTACTGTTTTATAACTCCTATAACTCCACTGTGAACTGATGTTTTAAACTGCATTTGTGTTCTTAAAAACTGGCTCTGGGTGCCCCTGCTCACGTGTTGAAGACAACCGTGCACCTCCAGAAGCCACTGGGGTTGTACAAGAGTGGCAGCAGTGATTTAATTTCCCCCTCCCCTCCACTTCCTCCTGCCCGTCTCCTTTCCCTCATCCTTTCCCGGCCAAAATTGTAACTTTGGCTGAAAACCACTGGAACAAAAGGTAAAGAAAAGTCCTTGAACATCATACATTTTGGAAGCACTTGGCACCTCTGGGCAAGAAACCATCTCATTGACTTCGCTGGGGTCAGTATCCAAGCTTTGATCTGCTGACCCCTTTAAATCTTAAACTCTGTGAAACGTGGGCTCAGGATATTTCAGTGGATGTCCAGGCACAGAAATGCCACAAGTCTCAGACGTGCTGAATTCACTGGTTGTGTTTTTCTTTCTTGATTTGAACAGGCTGCTGAACAACAATCAAATAAAACAAATTGTGAGAAGATCCTTTGAAGATCTGGAGAACCTGAAATACCTGTGAGTTGGTAGCTCAGTAGTTTTCTTAACCTCTTTGAAATTTAACAACCCACTTTTAGTGTTTGCCAGTCAAAGGTGTATTTTATGTGCTCAGCGTTTCTGGATGTTCGTGTCACAGCCATGAAACATCACCCTTGAATCTCATCAGCAAGCTTTGCTCTGGGCTGAGGTTCACAGCTGTTTTCCTGTGTCTCTCTAAAACACAACTGCTGATCAGTTACCCTAATACTTTTTTTTTCTTTCTCTCCTTTTGAAAGCTACCTTTATAAAAATGAAATTCAGAGCATCCAGCAACATGCCTTCAACGGGCTTCGTTCTCTGGAACAGCTGTGAGTACAAACGAGCCTTGTTTGTTGCTGAGTGTGATGTGTGTGATGTGTGCAAGAGCTGATTTATGGGCTCCTCTAACCCGAGTGCTGTGTTTCCAGTAGTGGAGAGTACCAGATGCTTAGCAAGGAGCAGGATGAGGCTTCTACTGTTTTCTCATCCAGCTTTGCAAGACTTCACTGGCTTCGTTTGAAAGCAGCTGGTCCCAGTACTGATCTTGGTTAGTTAATGCTGAGGTGTCTTCCTACTGATGTCCCGTATGTTTTCTCCTGGTCCTCAACCTCTGGAGTGTAGGAAGAGACCAGAGGCTCTGATTCCCTTTAGGTCCAAGGACCTTACGATGGGAGGAGACAGGTCTGTAGGATGGTTTGAAGCAGAAGGCAGATGGGCTGCTGTGTGTATGTTTGCTGGGACTCCTGGAGCAGGATCTGGCCCTTTGCTGGAACTGAAGGTGCTGGTGGAGTTTCTTTCTCATCCAAACCTTTGCCGAAAGTGAATGGATGAAGGGCAAGCTGAGAGTTGGGCAGTGGGGTATCTGTGGGAGCCAGGGTGGTGCTTACATGCTGTAAAGCATCTGGAAACTGCAATGGGGGGAAAATGATGGATCCAAACAAAGTAATGACCTTCCCTCCAAGCTGCGTGGCACTCTGGGATGGAAGGAGCCTCCCATGTTTTCCTGGCAGCTGGATCCCATCACAGGGACACTCTGGCAGTCCTTATTTGCTCCCCTTTCTGTGTGTTGCAAATCCGTGCTGTTTATTCAATCAAAAGGGGTTTGTTTTTTGACTCTCTGTGCTCCACGCTCAAGGTGAGATGGGTAGACTGAGGTCTGACTCTTCTAAAGCTTCTTGCTAAATCGGGATTGGATTTTTTCATGCTGGGGTTGTGACATATTATGTGTGTGTGCGTAAATACATGTGTACATACAGGGAGAGTGTGAGCATGGATGTTTGAAATATAACATTTATTTGCATCACTGGAGAACTGGGGCCAAAGGTGAAACCGTTCTACTTCATGGATTGTGCCAAATGACAGCATTTATAGGGCTGGAATGTAGCGCAGGATTTTGCTGTAAAGTGTTTGAAATACAAAGGGGTAGGATTCAGCTCATTCTCCAGAAATGTTTGAAATATAACATTTATTTGCATCACTGGAGAACTGGGGCCAAAGGTGAAACCGTTCTACTTCATGGATTGTGCCAAATGACAGCATTTATAGGGCTGGAATGTAGCGCAGGATTTTGCTGTAAAAGGGGTAGGATTCAGCTCATTCTCCAGAAGTGGACAGAGTATAAAGGGAAGTTTCAGGCGAGTTTAATAATAGGTGTGCTACCTTGTGTGCAAGGTGGTTTTTCATCGGCCTGCTCAGCAGGGATGCCTGGGAGAGAACAGAGGAAGCAGATACCGGCTCAGCACTGCTTAGAGAGGAGATGGTGCTGGCCACGGGGAGATTTTAACAATAAGAGTTCCAGACTTGATGTCACGAATAAAAGAAAAAAAAAAACACAAACCAACAAAACCACAGAACCAACAAACAACCCGCTGTAAGTCCCATCTGTTTTCAATCCCGGGCAGGCGTGATTCCAAAAGAATTAGCTTCGCTCAAATCCTACCCCGTTTTCCTGCACCCCACAAGCCAGCTTTTCAAGAAAAAAAGTATAACCCGATTGATGGACGGTATCAGATGCTTTCCTCAAGGTCCAAAGCAATGACGGGAGACATCTGAGACTTATTAAAGCACAAACATCTCTCCCTGCTGTTGCCCTCCACTGCAGAATCTGAGTCACCATCGCTCGGTTTGCGCTCCGATAGTGGACCATTTATCATGAATCCTTCCATTACAAATCAAACAGCCATGTGGTGGCTCAGGCAATTATTTCTCAATGCACTCAGCTACAACAGCAGAATGAGTATTTGTAGATCCGTGATTAATCAGCATCTGCTGTGAAATTTATGCCTGTGTAAAATAAAGGGGGGGAAGAGTTTAGGCAACTTTGAAACCATACCAAAATCCACGTAAAGGTCAGAAATGTGTCAGTTTGGCCGGCGAATGTCACATAATGGGAACAGGGAGCCTCAGGTCTCACAGTGTGTTGCTCTGCAGACCCCAAGTCTTCTTTGCTGATGGCCAGGGGTGACCCGGGGCAGTGCAGAAGGTCTCTGGAATAGCAGCTCACACTTGAGATTTTAGTGAAGCTAAAAACATTAACCTGTATTAGCAAGAGCTGGGCTTTTCACGTTATTGTGCCATTTAGATCCATGTGTTCCAGTTTGGAACTGGTCCATCTCTGTCTTTGGAGACTCTGCCTTCCCTCTGCAGAAATATAGCCCCATGGCAGCTGTTTCTGCTCTTGCTGGGAGCCCCTGTTAGAATCACAGACAAATGCAGGCTGGAAGAGACCTTTGGAGGTCTCCAGTCCAAACTTCAGCAACAAAAGAACCGATTTCAAAGCTTTATCAGGTTGTTCAGGGCCTTTTTCTACAAATCAATTCTCGGCAAACTCATGATCCCACTCAGAAGTGTTGCAATTCTGAGGCTGGGAATAAGTGCTTTGTAGTAAAGCTATTTATTTCTTTCTTCCTCCCCGAGGGTCCAGGGATGTTCTGAGGAATGCCAAGGCACTGGGGGATCCCGTATGGTGCTCAGATGGGAGCACTCTCCCTGGGCAGCAGCTTCATCCTGACCCTTTGCAGTGCAACAAGCACAGTGATGGTGGTCTTGGGCTTCAGGGAAGAGCATATCTCTGTGTGCTCTAGTTCATTAAAAGATAGAGTAAATAATTGACTGAATGGGGAAAAAACAGTGTTGGCTCCTATGTTTGCACTTAGAAAGTGGAGACGTTAAAGTGAACACTGGCTTCTCCACATCTGCCCTGAGACATGTGGTGACCAATTGGTGGGTGTTGGTGGACTGGTCTGAAAAGATCTTTTGGCTTCTAAATTGCAATCTGTAACCCTCTCCTTTGTGATGTTCTGTGTGGCAGCTATCTGCATTTCAACAACCTGGAAAGTCTGGAGCTGGAGACTTTTAGTGACCTGCCAAAACTTGAAAGGCTGTAAGTAAAGATGGGACCTTTCTCGTGAGCAAGGTGGGAAGGAGAAGGGGAAAAACCCCTTTGGTTTGTGTAACTGTTTCGGTAGCATGAAATGGGATCTTCAAAATGGAGGGAAATGCAAAAAGAAGCTTCCCTGAAAAAAGATTTTACATATTTGCCAAGTAGAAGGGTTACTGAGAGTATGAAGGGAATTTCCCATCTTATGTTATATTCGTGTTCCCACCTAAGTAGGGGTAATTCTGCAGAAAGCCCTACAGTTGGCCAGGCCAATTGAAATTTTACTCAAATAAATGACCATAAGGTCAACATTAGTCACCGTTGGGCAGCATGTACAAAAAAAGAGGGCGGAAAAAGAATAAAGTCAGAAGAAAGTCTAACAAGAAAAAAAGTGTCTTTCTTGAAAGCTGTTAAAAAATGAAGTCCTATGTCTTGCGCTCCCCAAGAATGCTCCTAATAATAATGTAGCCACTAGGACAATAGTTCTCATGGTGGTTCCCACTCCATGGTGAAACCAACAGACCCTTTGGTGCTGCGTGGAAATGTGCCCTCTGTCCACACGTGACAGGAAAATAAAATCATGGGATCCAAACACCATTAGGAAAATCCAGCCCTGGATCTGCACACCATGGCTGATCTCAGCCCCTGTATTTGATCCAACAAAAATTCTGGATTTAAATTTTAGAGGAAGGTTCCTCAGCATCCAGCTAGGCTGAACTCATGCATACACGTGTGTATGCAGACATTAGCACGAAAGCTCTACTGCCTTTGTATTTCTTTCCTGTTCCACAATCTACCAAATTTGCTTCCTATCTTTTGTCAATGGTCTCTTATGAGTTTTAGATGTAACTGACAGAACGAAATTTCCCTCTCCATTATGGGAATGGAGAATTAATTATCCCATCTTGGTACCCGCTGATGCATTTTAGTGCAATCCACGGTTATTTTGGCTCTTATCTGTGTGCTGAGACTCTGGAAGCGAGAATTTGCCTCACCTTTTTCAGAGATAAGCCTGGCTTAGGCTGATGTTGTCTGAATTAGATTTACTCATGGATTTGGGTTAATAACTACATTTAGTCGAGGACATGAGTTGTCTGGTGTCTTCTGCTGGAGCCTTAATTCAATGGCTGCCCTTGTAAAATTGCTGTATCTTCTGATGGGGGGAAAAGAAAAGGTCCCTTCTCAACTGGAGCTGACCCAGGCACAGAAAACACAGGGTGGGTCCAGCCCGTGGGGATTTCGTGCCCTTTCTCCTCCCTTCACAGAGCATGAAGCAGATTAACTTTAAGGTTCCAGTTTAAACCTGTTACATCACGTTTTTGAGTCACCGTTTCCATTCCACGCCCGCTCTCCGCTTTGGCGTATTGCATCGCACCTGCAAATGAATGAAATCCCAATAGAAACAAACACAGTAAATTTTTTAAAAACCAAACTCCATTTTGATGACCAGACTTTGTCTTTTAGCTGAGTTTTGACCTGGGCTGTTATCACCCGCGTAGTGCAAATACTGAATAATGTTTTGGCGTGGGTTCTCCCCTTGCAGATTCTTGCACAACAACAAGATTTCCAGGATTCATCCAGGGACATTCTCTCAACTGGAATCCCTCAAACGGCTGTAAGTGAAAAACATTGCCTGCAAAGAGCAATTGTTTATCTTTGATCAGATGGCCAGGACCTGAGGAAAAATGTGCCTGGTTGGCAAAGCCTTTAGTTGTTGCACTTTTAAGGTCGCTGCTAAGTTTATGAAACAGTTTTGTTTGGACGTGAGGGCCCATTTAACCAGTTCATGGTTTCTTCATGCTGATGTCTAATTATAATCTAACTGTAATCTTCTTACAGCTCAATAATGCCATAGGAATGAACATTCCTGGAAAGTCCTCACCACCATGACTGTCCTACACAGTTTGGACCCATAAAATGTCCTTCAAAAACGTAGGGTGTCCAAGTCACAGATATGACCTCAGTCATGTCTTCAGATCACTATTTAACAGGGAAGGAAAAGTCATAGTCGTAAAAGAAAAGGCTTTTTTTCTTTTTATTTCTAGAGACTGAAAATACTCAGAGGGGTGCCGAGGTGCATGATTCTTATCCCATGCAGGAATGTCCTGGTGTGTTATTCCCACATAACCTGGCTGCCTCCTAAGCTTACTTTTTGCTTGCTTAAACCCCCCAGAGCTTTCCTTTGTTTGTCTTTTATGATCCCTGGAAATAAGTTCTATGACGTGTTTTTGGGGAAAAAGTAAAAACTAAAGAATTTTGGTGTTCTGCCATGATTTTGAACTGCAAGAAAATGATGTGTTTCTCACTGCAGCCCTCTGTGATTTCTGCAAGCAGGTAAAATAATTCGCTTTTCTTTAACAGGGAATAACTTGTGAAATGTTGTCTGTACGTGTCAGAGAAAAAGGTGGGGTGTCTATAAAATGCTCTATCGGGGCTTTGGGTGAAATCTCTCATTCCCAAATGTTTGTTCCTGGAAACACTAAACCTTTTGCCTTTTTGCCATGTTTTTTTCTTTTTTTTTTTTTTTTTTTCCCAATGGCCCTGGCCCATCTCCTTTAAAACTGTCAGTGGGGAAGGAGGCATCAACTAATCTCCCTATAATCTTTATTTATCCTTGTGCATAGCACTGCACATAGGAATGAGGTCAGTAGAGGGAAAAGCACGGGTGCACTGGGAGGTCACCAGTGCTCCATTCAGCATGGATCAGGGTTATGGTGCAGTAATAAAAGTTCTTGTAGTTGTGCAGAAATTCTACAACCTCTAGCAGCTGGTCACAGGAAGAGATTGATCCGATGCACACTAAAACGAAGGAGGAGGGTTTTTTGAGCATGGAAAGCTCTAACAGAGGTGGTGTTATCTGCTGCTCTTACAGAATTCAGTAAAAGTTGAAATCTCCATCCTGGGGGAAATACCAATATTTTGATGTCTCTCTGTGCCTCAGATTAAGCCCAAAAATGCGTGATCCAGTTTAACAGAGTAATTTTCATTTGAAGCTGGAATGGCTGATGGGTAATGTTAGTTTTTCAACTCAATCATTCTAACTTGGTTGAGCATCCCGTTTAAACGTTGTGGGAATGAAATATCTCAAATTTTCATTTGGGTTATCACAGAATGATATGGGGTTGGAAGGGACCTCTGGAGATCATCTAGTCCAACCCCCCTGGCAGAGCAGGTCCCACCCAGAGCAGGTTGCACAGGAACGTGTCCAGGCAGGGAAGAACAGCTGGGTGATCCCTCTCTCCAGAGGACCGTTCCCCTCCTGTGTCCCGGAGAAGGAGGCAGCGCTCGGAGGCTGGGAAATGACCTTGCTGTTTCCTTGGTCTTGCAGGCGGCTGGACTCCAACGCTTTGCTTTGTGACTGTGACCTGATGTGGCTGGCAGAGCTGCTGAGGAAATATGCTGAGCAGGGCAGCATCCAGACAGCAGCCACCTGCGAGGCACCACGGGACCTGCACGGCCGCTCCATCGTCACCCTGACCGCCCAGGAGTTCAACTGCGGTGAGCGGGGTCAAACCCTTCCACCAGCCACCCTCAGCCCGGGGAGTTGGGCTCCCATCTTGGGAATCACTTCCTCCACCCCATTCCCTCCTCCTTCCCCGCCCTGGCATCCTGTTTTCTCCCTCCTTTTGCTGCCGGAATGGAAAAGTCCCAGTGGGCTCACACGAGTTATCAGGATAATGCAGAGAAAGTCTCATGGGGGTTGGAAGCAGCTCTGTTTTGGCTGGCGGGGGTCAGCTTGGTTTTTAAATAGAGTAGGTCTAGTAAAGGACCTACTTTAGGTCCTTTAAAGGACCTAAAGGACCAGTGGTTAAACCAGCAACCAGAAGAAACATCCCACCTTGGGATGAACAGAAGGGAGGGCTGGAAACACAGCTGGAAACCTACACGAACTCTTAGTTGATATGTAGCGGAGGGCTTTGTTTGGCTGTGGCCATGTAGTGATGTTTATGTATTAGATGATTTCTCACTGGAAAATGCAATCTTGAAATGAAAGGGTTTGTTCTGAAAAATTTCAAATTTAAATATGTCAGCTAGAGAAAGACAAAACTCCAACTTTTAAGTGCAGGTGTCAGCGGAGGGTGGCACAAGAGCTGGCTGTGGTTCCCTGATGCTTTGTTGCTGGTAGAGTCAGTTTGAGACATTCCCACTGGGCCGGGCCAGCTCTCAGCATCCCTCCTGGATATGTCAGTCCAGCTGTGTGCCTGGCCACGCCGTGAGCCAGATGTGTGACATCAGTTGGCTTTTGAAGAACCCTCCCTTAAATTCTGATTTTCTCCTATGATCTTATTATTT